GGGGGGGGGGGGGGGGGCATGGAACACATAGGCGTCAGCAACGGAGAAAGAACGAGTGGCACACGACATGTTTGGAAGAGCTGCGATATGTCAATGAGCCGGCACGGGACCTTCTCGAGGGTCACTCCAACTCCACGCTACCCTTTGCGGCTGCGAACTGATGAAGAGCCTTCGGCAACTAACGTGATTGCCGCAGTGCCCACGAACAAGCAGTGAATTGAAAAAACATGCATGTAGGTCGACCCTGCTCATCGGGAGCGAAGAAGCAAACATCTACACACATGTGCGTAGGTCACGTCAAAAGACCACAGAAAAAAGTTACAACGGGGAGGGAGCAAACGTTAACGTGGTGTTCTGCTCCGCAAGCGCACAACACGCAAAAAAAGGAAAGCCCTACGACGTGCGCAGCTTTCTCGTGGTACTACTTCGGACAAGCGAGGCATCGTGCATCTTTGCAAAGTTGCGATGGCGTTTTGGCACGAGTCCGTGGGCGCCAACTCTACCCAGCAGCAGATCCTGCTTCGATCGCCCTCCCGCCGACTGTCTTGGCGACCTTAGCGGCCACGCTCGTTCACCTTGGCCTTCTGTGTGTTGTTTGGGGGTCGTCGGCCTTCGGCTTGGCAACGGACGGTGAAGCGCCTTTTCGTGGGAGCTTCAGGGGTAAGGTTCAAGAAGAGTCTCCGGCATTTGTTGGAGGGGGCCAAGGCGAATGCTTGTCGTGGAGTCTTGTTTGCAACGTATCGGTGGCGTCGGGCGGGGACAAGGTTCGAAAGGGGGCGGGCTTCCGTGGCGGTGTCGTGGCCGGCGGGTTGGGGGTCATCGTCCGGGATAAACTCTCCCGCCTCGCAACACACGGTGGCGATGACGTGAGTGTGCCGCCCGCTGCCGCATCTGCGGTATCGCGTGGCTGGGGGCGCCTTCGTTCAGCGTCCTACGGGTTCTATCGCGGTACAGAAACGGTGGCCGCGCTGGCGACGATGAAGGAAGTCGTCTTGGCGAGGTGTATCCAGTGACCGCAGTGACATCTCCGAGATGTCATTTCGATCACTGGAAAACCTGCACCAAAACGGCTGCACTCATCGCTAACAGCGCCACCCCTGGCACCGCGATAGATGCCGTCGGACGCTATTCGAAGCTGCTCCCAGCCACTACAAACACGTCAATGCCACCGTGTTGGGGGGAGGGGGGAGAACTCATCCCGGACGACTCCGCTAGTGCCTTAGAAGCCGCCACGGAAGCCCGCTCCTTTCGAACCTAGTCCCCGCCCGACGCCACCGATACGTCGCAAACAAGACTCCACGACAAGCATTCGCCTTGGCTCTCTCCAACAAATGCCGGAGACTCATACCCCCGAAGCTCCCACGAAAAGGCGCTTACCGTCCGTCGCCAAGCCGAAGGCCGACGACCCCCAAACAACACACAGAAGGCCAAGGTGAACGAGCGTGGCCGCTAAGGTCGCCAAGACAGTCGGCGGGAGGGCGACCGAAGCAGGATCTGCTTCTGGGTAGGCTTGGCTCCGACGGACTCGTGCCAAAACGCCATCGCAACGTTGCAAAGCTGCGTTCTGTAGAAATGATGCCTCTTCCGTCCAAAGTAGTACTGCACCATGAGAAAGTCGAGTACGTCGCGGGGCTTCCGCTTTCTTGGTTATGAGCAGTTTGCGGACCACAACTCCGCGTTAACATTTCCTCTCTCCTGTGAAATTCGTTTCCATGCTTCTTGGCGTTGCGCAATGTGCGTGTACATCCTTTGCCTCGCCGCCTGCAATGAGCAGGGTCGACTTCATTGGAATTTACATGGCGTTGTTCTCTTGTTTTTTCATCTCGCTGTGCTTGGTCCTCGTCACCGTAGAAGTTTGCACGTCATGCGCCCGTCGTCAGCTCGCCAAAAGTGGTGGGTAGCGTAGAGTTGGAGTGGCCCTCGGGAACGCTCCCTGCCTGTTCATCGGCTTATCATCGCGGTTACAACAACAACGATGGCAGCAAATCAGCATTGCCACAACCGCAACTGGCGCCGACTCACCATGGCACCGATGTACGTGCGACGGTGGCCCCGGATCTCGGCCTCGTCGTGCACGCCTCCGAGTGATAGCCGTTGAAACCTGTCCTCGTTCCCCGGACAAGAAGGCGTTGTTCAGGGTTCATTTTCGGACCGGGGTTGCCTTAGGTTTGGTGCCCGGATTTCGGAGTGGTGTGCGTCATGCTTCGGGAAGCGCAATGGGCACAAGGTCACCAAACGCGAGCAATACCCTCCGCTACATGGCCACGCACACAAACACAAAACACCAAAAACAGAATGCCTGAAGATAAAACGTGAGGATAGCCAAAGATAAAACGATGTTCCACCACGCATAGGCATCCATCTATCTCTCTTCAGCAGGTTTGTTTTATCGCAGACGCTGCTACAGACTGCTACAGTGTCACCTCACTCCCAAGAACGCGCCCCCCTTCACCGACTTCTTGGGGACAACACGTTGCCACTACGATAGCTGAAAAGCTTTGAGCATGTATCCAAGGAAAACAAAAATACGCCACCCTTCGTTGGTGACAAAACCTACACCTATATCCTATCGTATCCTGCTACATGCACGCCGTAGTACATACGTAGCCTAACCCATCGCAACCAAAAGTATGCACTTCAATTTGACAAAAAACATGTATATCTTATCCTGCACGCTATACAGCGACACGTCCATGTATGGCAGGAGTGCATATCTCACTTTCTGTTGAGGGCGGCGGCGATGGAGCGTCCTAACGACGTCTTTCCAACACCGGGGGGGCCGACGAGGCACAAGATGGAGCCCTTGCTGTCCGAGAGGAGTGACCGCACGGCGATGTACTCCACGATGCGTTGCTTCACCTACGTTTAGAGGCACAGGACGGAGAGAAGGATAGAGAGGCAGGGGGAGGGAGACCGGGAGGGAGAGCAGAGAGAGACAGAGAGAGAGAGGGTGGGGGGGGGGAAGAGGGAGACAGGGAAAGGGAGAACAGAGTGAGAGTGAGAGACAGAGAGAGAGAGAGAGAGAGACAGAGAGAGAGAGAGAGAGA